AATTATTCGCCAATTCCCTCCACTCATTATTTACTTTGACGGAAGGACAGTAAGAGGGACGGAAGAAAATAGCAATAAAACATAGTAAACGGAGCGAGAACACACAGACGAGAGTAATTAATAAATAGTCAAATGTCACAATCAAAGGAACAGGAGAAAACGTCGCCCATTTCCTTAAGTAAATGAATCAGTTCTGGTAATAAGCGGTGTTTCTCCTCTTCCTCGTTTATCGTTTTTCTCTCTCTTATTTATCTCCTTTTATTATCACTTCTCTTTACTACACGTTCGTCCTCCTTTCTTCTCATTTATTTCTTTCTTATTTGTTCTCCTTCGTTATGTCACCACAGATTATACGGCTCTTATTATCATTCTTACTTCTCATTCTCCCTCTCTCGTGTGGTTCTTCCTATCATTCGAACATTCTTCCCAGCGCTCTCTCTCTCTCTCTCTCTCTCTCTCTCTCTCTCTCTCTCTCTCTCTCTCTCTCTCTCCTCAGTAGGCAATACAGTAATGGAATACACAGCAATTGTTACAGAAGGGAATATTGACAACACTCTGGAGGCAACAAAGTGTCTTCCATCAAAGGCGTTCTGACAGCTTTACAACACCAACAACTTCCGGCATTAGGTAACTCCTCCAGGTGTCAGAGGAGGAGCTATACCTGGATGGTTATTATACCTGGATGGTTATTATACCTGACTGGTTATTTTACCTGGCTGGTCGTCTTACCTGGTCAATAGTTCAATGTATAGTGAGTTTTTTGTATACCTACACGCACACATACATATGCGTACAAATATGTTGTACACACACACACACACACACACACACACACACACACACACACACACACACACACACACACACACACACACACACACAGATGCACATATAGAAACACAGACACACACACACATACACATATATACACACAAACAGGCAGATCCACACACACACACACACACACACACACACACACACACACACACACACACACACACACACACACACACACACATAACAACAAGCAAAGGAATAAATATATTTCTTCTTTTAAGTCGACGATGTTGACCAAAAGAGATGAGGAGATACACGACACAAGATAAGTGCCACCCTAACAAGCACAACTGGCTAATGACCCTCTACTCCGGAACACCCCACCCCCCCCGCCCTAACCCTTCCTCTCTCATTCCCTCTCCCTGCCCACCCCTCCTCTCTCATACCCTCTCCCCCCCCACCCTAAACCCCTCAGCCCGTCGGTGCAACTCGATATAAGCAAGACAACAAGAACATACTGTTAAAAGTAATCCCTTGACGTTTTATGTTGTGAGAGTCTCCCCCCTTGAGGAAAATCACACACACACACACACACACACACACACACACATATACAAGTATGCTCTACCATCATTTTATGTACCTATCACTGTAATCATCGGCTGTAACTTACAATTCCGGTAGAAAATTTAGGGGAAACGTAGGAGCGAACATGGTAAAGTATGTAGCTATGTTACGGGTAAATGGTGGAGTACAATACCTGTGTTATGGTGAGTTGCTTTCTACAAGGTACTGGACGCTGTAAACACCATCATCAAGGGACTTTGTAAATCAGAGGTTGAGGATGACCTGATCACGAGATCTGAGGTTGACGAGTTCCACAACAATTCAAATAATGAGTTACTAGATGCGCAAAGGCAGAACAATGAACATACCAAACAGAATACTCAGAACAAACAACAATAACCTTAAATGGATAAATAATTATTTAAAGAATATTATTGAACAAAGGAAGGCTATAGGTAGGAGAATAAATCGTGGTGAAGTTTACCTCCGCGATTATTATAAGGTATTGGCCGGTAGGGTTAAGACCGAGATAAGAAAAGCAAAGAGGAATAATGAACTGAAGGTAGCAAGGGAGGCGAAGTCAAACCCCAAGGGATTCTATCAAATGTATCAAACTAAAACACGAGAAAAGATTGGACCAATACAGTCAGATACAGGCGAGCTAACTGATAACTACGGAGAAATGAGCAATAATCTGAATAAATATTTTTCAACAGTTTTCGCCACCGAAAATTTAAACATGATACCAAAGGCGCCGACTCTATACTAGTATACAGAGATAGTGAAGAAAATAAATTAAGCGAGATAGTAGTGACTAGTAACGATGTTAGTAAGCAAATAGACAAACTAAAGCCAAATAAGTCACCAGGTCCCGATGAGATATTTGCCAGAGTATTAAAGGAATGTAAGGAAGAGCTTAGTATGCCCTTAGCAAAGTTTTTTAACATGTCCTTAAAAACGGGTGTAGGTACCAGAATCCTGGAGGATAGCGAATGTAATACCGATTTTCAAGAAGGGAGATAGATCATTATCCTCTAACTACCGTCCAATCAGTCTAACATCAATTGTAGGCAACTTATTGGAAGCAATCATTTCAAACTCTATTCGAAATCATCTGGAGAACCACAAGTTGATAGATGATTCCAAACATGGCTTCACAAGTGGGCGTTCATGTCTAACTAATCTATTAACATTCTTTTCATCTGTTTTCGAATCAGTGGACGAGGGGCACAATTATGCTGTTGTATATCTCAACTTTAGCAAAGCCTTCGACAGAGTCCCCCACGAAAGACTAATAAGGAAAGTGGAGGCTCATGGCATTAAAGGAGATATTCTAAAATGGATTAGGGCGTGGTTACAGGACAGGAAACAGCGAGTGAGCATTAACGGCACTAAATCCGATTGGAGCAACGTCACTAGTGGAGTTCCCCAGGGCTCAGTACTTGGACCATTATTATTTATTATATACATAAACGACATAGATCTCGGCGTAGACAGCAACATAAGTAAACTTGCTGATGACACTAAAATAGGGCGTGTAATTAAATATGACGAGGACTCCGCAAAACTGCAGCAAGATCAAATTTTTCGAATGGTCTGAAAAATGGCAAATGAAATTCAATGTGGACAAATGTAAAGTACTCAGTATAGGAGATGTAAACAGGGAAACCAGATACCAAATGAACAACGATGTTATTAAGAAATCCGACTGCGAGAAAGATTTAGGAGCAATGATAAGTAGGAATCTTTAGCCAAGTAAACAATGTGTATTTGCTCGAAAACAAGGCTAATAAAGTACTTGGGTTCATACAAAGGAGTGTTAGTTACAAGACTAGTGAGGTCATCCTAAAACTATATCTTGCACTTGTGAGACCTCACTTGGATTACGCAGTTCAATTCTGGTCACCGTATTTCAGAATGGATAAAGGCAAGCATGAACTTAGCATGCTTCCCTGTTGGGCGCTGTAAACGCTTCTGCGCTTCGCCTTACACAATGATGTAGGGGGGTGCCCAATAATAATAATAATAATAATAAAAAAAAAGAATGACAAGACTTATCCCAGGCATTAGGAACCACGAGTACAGAGGCAGGTTAAAGCATCTTAATTTGCACTCCCTCGAGAGACGTAGAGCGAGGGACGATATGATAGAGGTGTATAAATGGAAGTCAGGGCTAAACAAAGGGGACAGTACAAAGGTACTCAAACTATCCAACCAGGAGTGAACTCGTAACAATGGTGTAAAATTAGACAAATTTTGATTTAGGCGTGAAATAGGTAAAAATTGGTTTGGAAACAGAGTAGTGGACGAGTGGAACAAGTTACCAAACATCATCATTAACTCGAATACGCTGGATAGCTTCTAACATAGGTTGGATGGATATATGAGCGATAGGGGTTGGGTGTAGATGGGACTACCCAGTATGGGCCAATAGGCCCGCTGCAGTTTCCCCCATTCTTATGTTCTTATGTTCTAAACACAACCACCAAGGGACTTTGTAAACACCACCATCAAGGGACTTTATAAACACAACCATCAGGGGACTTTGTAAACACCACCTTTGTAAACACCATCATCAAGGGACTTTGTACACCACACCTTTGTATACACCGCCATCAAGGGACTTTGTAAACACCATCATCAAGGGACTTTGTAAACACCATCATCAAGGGACTTTGTAAACACCACCATCAAGGGACTTTGTAAACACCACCATCCAGGGACTTTGTAAACACCACCATCCAGGGACTTTGTAAACACCACCATCCAGGGACTTTGTCATCCAGGGACTTTGTAAACATCCATCATCAAGGGACTTTGTAAACACCATCATCAAGGGACTTTGTAAACACCATCATCAAGGGACTTTGTAAACACCACCATCCAGGGACTTTGTAAACACCACCATCCAGGGACTTTGTAAACACCACCATCCAGGGACTTTGTAAACACCACCATCCAGGGACTTTGTAAACACCACCATCCAGGGACTTTGTAAACACCACCATCCAGGGACTTTGTAAACACCACCATCCAGGGACTTTGTAAACACCCCGTATAAAACACGTTGACACCTCATTAGTTTTTGTACCCCGCGTCCTACAACCATAACATGATACGCCATTTTATTTATTTTTGTCCTTCTCACACTGTTGTGTTTTGTAACTGAAAGTAGGTTTTTTGTCCGTAACTTTCCACATAATAAAATTAATAATGAAATTTTGTTTCTTGCAATTTATTTTTTGTGTTTCTATTGTAAAAGTCATTATACTCAAGGGGTTAAGTTATCGTACTCGTGGATTTATGTAATTGTACTCAAGGGGTTAAATCATTGTACTCGAAGGGTTTTGATTGTACCAGAGGAATTAACTTATCGTATCTAATGGGTTAAGTAATCGTTTTCAAGTGGTTGAGGCATCGTACTCAAGATGTTAGTCATCGTACTCAAGAGGTTCAATCATCGTAGTCAAGGCATTGTACTCAAGTCATCGTACTCAAGAGGCTAAATCATTGTACTCAAGAGGCTAAATCGTCGTACTCAAGTCATCGTACACAGGGGGATGAAAGAGAAAAATAAAACTATGTAAACAAACCGTCCTGTTTCTAGGTGCCTGAGGTGACGGTAAAGAGTAAAGAGGAAGGAGCATGTTACTTACTGTAGGTCCCGCTTGGTTTCCTCAAGGCTCGAGTGTTCCAGCTTAAACTCGAGGCGCTGGATGAGTCTGTTCTTCTGCTCGAGTTGTTCCTCCATGGCGTGCATCTGAGCGGCCGTCGCCTCCTTCACCCCCGACAGTGCCGCCTGCAGTCTCGAGATGTCTTCCACCAATTTGGACACCTGTGAGGAAGGGAAAAAACAAAGCACGGTTAGGAAATGAGGAATAACAAACATGGCGTCTTTCTTTCTCTGTGACTTTTTCCTTACTCACAAAGATACATTGATAATTTATGTAGGAAATGTTTTGTTTTTTATGGACGGTTTTATTAGTGTATATAAGTTGAAGTATCACCTGTATGTACAAGGTTTATTAATGTATTCAATTTGGATTTATTCATTTAGTTTATTTTATATTTTCACACCTCCACCGTAGTGCCAGGTGACACAGATTAATTATAGTACACCTGTAGGTGATAGTTTATGCAGGTAGTTTATGTGAGGTGAAGAACCCAGAAACGATGTCACCAATTTAGACAGACGAGGACACACACACACACACAGACTGGACCTCCTCCTCCTGCACGCGAGTTGTAATAGAATGATGAAGAGATAGAAGGTGCTTCAAGACCCGCCTCACGTAGACGATAATAACTGATATATCACCCAGATGGTAGAGTAAAAAAAGTGAAGATAATATAGAGTCAATGAGACGACGAGGAAGATTTAGAACCTAATAAAAAGCAATAAAATAAACATTCTCACAGGGACTCAGCAACATGGCCACCAAGCACTGCAAGAGCACTGAACCCAATCAGTCACTTGGCTGCCACACCACTTAATTACACCCTAACTAGTCTTCTGTAGCGGCACAGTACAGAACCCAGGACACTAAGCGTTAGAGCGCCCAACAAAAGGCAGCGACAGACGCCACCATTACATCCTATATGGCTGTGATGAATCTCAGACTCTTATTCTACACAGTGTCATGGCCGAGCCCCTCACACTGAAGAATTAAAATGTCCTTCTATTCTGTACTAAGTCAGCGAGCTGTAATGAATTGCCTGGGCTTTTGACCCAACTTTTTGTCGTCGGCTCAACATTAGGAGTTTTGTACGGCCGTCGGTAACGCTGCTCTTAAATCCCTGCGTGTTCAAGAGTGTCCTCCGAAGCCCTGCGGTTACCTGTGGCTATATTAAGTGGCTCCCTCACCTTGCCATTGATGAAGCTGAAGAATTATTAACTTTACCTTTCCACTCTCCCTTCCTCCTCTCCCTTCTTCCTCCTCCTCTTGTTCTTCCTCTCTCGTCTTTTCCACTTCCCCCCTCTCCTTCCTTTTAATTTCCCCTTCTTTTCTACTTCCTCCTCTTTTCCCCATCTCCTCCTTCTAACTTCCCCCTCCCCCATTTCTTCTCTTCCTCCTCCTCCTCCAGTGGTTGGCAATACACACGAGTCACTTCATCATTAAGACAAAAGGCTTCATGTGTGTGATTGTGACAGTTATGAGTGGGGGGGGGAGGGAGGGAGGGGGCACATCTCTCCTCCCCCTTCCTCTTCCCCTTCACCTCCCCTTCACCTCACCAACAGGACTTAATACATCACACCTTTGATGTTTCGGTAGTATGAAGGTTGTTGTTTATTACTGCTGCTATTATTAATATCATCATCATCATCATCATCATCATCATCATCATCATCATCATTATCAGTAGTCAATTTTGCATATACGATATTCTTTAATTTGACACAGTAGTATTATCATTTGTAATAGCATTGGTATTTCTAGAGTATAAATCTTAAGACAAACGAACCAAGAAATAGTCTGTCTGTACGAATATAACCCCCCCCCCACCCCCACACATACTCACAAAATGAACTCCACAAAATATGGTCACAATTATGTTCCCCTTAAATCGGTGTCTACATCGCACTAGTGTCAAAGCGGACGATTTTACCGCAAGGAAAAACCTCACAAACTTGTACCTGATACGAGGTAATTAAGTGACGGTGGCGGGTGGCGGTGGCGGGTGGCGGTGGCAGGTGGCGGCAGTGGCGGCGGCAGGTGAACTATGAACCTAACAGGTACTGAATCCTCCAATCCTGTCCGCCGCCTCCGCCTCTTCTATCTCTTAAAGGATCAGATCAGTGCCAAGACGCCGGTCATTATTTATATTTCCTTTATGAAAAGCTTATCAATTTTATGCCCTACTGAAGGTGTTCATTAGGGTCCATTCTCCGTCAGGGGGGGCACTATACGGAGTCTCGTCCTCATGCCCAACGTACCCAGGGTCGGTAATTAAAAGAACTCTCTCTCTCTCTTTCTCTCTCTCTCTCTCTCTTTCTCTCTCTCTCTCTCTCTCTCTCTCTCTCTCTCTGGGGGCTCCTACCACCACCAGCAGGAGGAGGAGGAGGTCAGAAGCAATAAATGTGGCAGCCTTGAAGAAATTAACAGTCTATTCTTCAGCTGGCAGCCCACACATGGCAAATGTTGAAAGAGTTCAGGCAAGCGGAATGATACGAGGGAGGGAAAAAGAGGAGGAAGAGGGATTGGAGGGGGGAAGATAGAGGAGAAGGGGGGGAGGAGGACTATAGGGAAGGTGATTGAGGGTTAGTATTAGAGGAAGAGGAGATGGTGGATGAGTGTAGAGAAGGTGGTAGGAGGGAATGTTATTACAGAGAGAGAGAGAGAGAGAGAGAGAGAGATAAACATAGGGCAGAGAGCTAAGTAGTATTGTCATTACCCGTGTGTGTGTACTGATCAACGTGTCATTGTGAAATAAGTTACCTTTTATGACAATGCTTATCCCTCACCCCTTACTCGTCACCCTTTACCCCTCACCCCTTACTCGTCACCCCTCACCCCTCCAGCGTCCCCCAAGGCAGGGTACAGGACCAGTATGAGGGCTCCCTGCGTAGATATACATTAATAAGCGTAGCGTGACGGGTCCTCGTAAGCGCTTGGCGAAACAGAGTCAGACGCGACACTAATTTAGACCTTAGGCGGCGGAGCTTTCATAAGGAACCTTCACTCGTGCTTGTTGCTGTTTTATGAATGTTTTGTTAAGAGGATGAGTCTGAGGTCACAGGCTAGTTTCCGGTGGTTGTTGGCTCATCAGCTGTGTGTGTGTGTGTGTGTGTTAACCAGCAGTATGAGAAACATTGGTCTTAATTACTATAATAATATGTTGATCAGATGCGAGAGAACTACCATTTATACTCGATGGTCTAGCTAATGTATAACTGTGTCCATGTACTCGCTGCCACACTATTTACGAAACTTTATGAAGCTTCACCAAAACACGAGAGAGTTAACATAAAACAAGGGGGGGGGGGGAGGTTGTGTTAGTGTTTACAGATAGAGACACAGTGTAACTTGATGTTGTAATACACAGTCATCGTATACACTATCCAGAGCTAAATGTTTATATTGGTATGTAGAAACAAATGTCTGTGTCAGGAACGCGGCAGTTCTATGAATTTGTCCGTGATATATCAACAAGTGAACTGCTCGCGTATATTTCTGGTTTGTCGGAGTGGTCGCTGCCGCCGCTGCTCTCTCCATTGGTCACCGTTCGGGGAGAGCAAGTGTGTGTACATTGCCTTGTAATATCGGTATGTGATTAATGGGTGTATACGATGTAGTATTCATATATAAACACATCACGAGGGAGGGATGGGGGTAATGGAGTGTAGTATTTGGCCTCTGCCCCCCTCCCTCTGCCCTCCCCTCCCACCGCTCACAACACAACGCTCAGTACACAGGAAAACTTGTGGAATACTCACCGGTCTATTGTTAACTGTCTAACAGTAATTCACCTTGTTTAATCTGGTGTCGTTTAAAGCTTGTAGTCGCTTAATGGTAGGACGTTTAACTCCAATTTCACCAATATGTCAGACGGAGTGAGAATCGAATACTTATCGAGTGGAATATTCATCAGTGTACGGTCGGTGTAGCGGGGTCAGGGGATGTGTCTTAAAATACTTAATATATTCTCAATGAGCATGAAATAATGCTGTCCAACATCCACGCGAACGTCAACGCACAGCAGTACGTGAGAAACATATTATCTCACTTCCTATTATTGTAGCCATTCTCGACCTTGCCTTCTTCATCATTACGGTACATTTTCCTATGATTATTACGGGCATAATGACTCCTAATACACCGACGCTTAAGGGTAAAAATGGTCAGGTATTGGCTAGACCAATATGTGTCTGGTATATTGTGGGTAATGAGAGGTATCGGAACGGCAAGTGTATTTTCATCTATATTATTAGCGGCTGTGGACGTGATGCATGAGTTATACTTGGAGAAGGGTGTGACAGAGCCGCCACACACAAGTTCTGCTGTGTTATGTACGGTAGTTGGGGAGGGGGTGAGGAGCCGCGCCAGAATGACCCCTAAACACAGGTCTGGTGGAATTCACATCCTGTACATCATACTTTAGATTCCACACGTTAATTACTTCTCTATATAACCATGGACGATATCCTTAAGAAACTCCCCAATAAACCTCATAAAGAACACAAGCCACGGGCACAAGCTAACCCCAGCTGTTGGCTTCAAAACTGGACACAACCCCGAGCTCCAGCTTTCCATATAAAATCAACTACGAAACGTTTAATTGTAGAAAGTATTTACAAAAACCAATATCCGTGTTATAGAGAGTTGCCTGACGGGACTAACGAATCGTGTGAACTGATAACTAGCGCTGTGCAGCTTCGCTCTCTCCACTCATCCGTTCTGTGCCCTATGTCTGCCTCCCATATATATATATATATATATATATATATATATATATATATATATATATATATATATATATATATATATATATATATATATATATATATATATATATATATATATGTGTGTGTGTGTGTGTGTGTGTGTGTGAGGGGGGGGGGGCGACACAGAGGCGTCTATCACTGTGTTTATTCTCAATAATGTAACAACATCCACGGCTCTCAGGAAATATTTATCCAGCGTGTAAATATAAGGCGCCGGCGAGGGTGATCCAACTGTTTTTATTTCCAACATTGAAAATGAGAAACACATGTATACCGTCTGTTGTTACCAGACTGATAAAAAAATGGTACAGTCACAATAAAGAACAGCAGTTCATAGTTGGATTATGTTATCTGATACACGGCGAAAATTACCATGCCACACACACACACAC